GTTAATGATAGCTTGAGAGTGGGGGAGAATTTCAAGCCTTAAAATATACACATGCATTGTTGAAATTTCATAAGCATTATTAGTTCAGTAATGGAAAAAATTTCAATCCTAGTTATTTTTGTGGTGAAATGATATATGTTGGGAATATGCTTTAAAATGGTAGAGCAAAAAATATAAAACTAAGTGGAGGAGTGGAAATGAAACATGAATTGTAAAATGTTGATAGTTGAAGCAGGGTGATGGGTAGACCCAGAATTCATACTACTATTCTGGTTTCTTTTGTATTAATTAAAATTTTTCATGATAAAAAGCTAAATATTTTCAATCTACAATCCAAAAAAAATAATATGTACAATGTAACGTTTAATGTACCTTCAAAAATGAAAATGAAGTCATAAAAATATTAGTTTAGTTGGTAAGAATGCACTTTTATTACTGATTCTCCTTAATCACACAAATGCAGAAAGATTTTATGTAAGCCACAATATTTCATCATAATTCTTTTTACTCTAACACAAATTAAGTATCATTATTTTTTCAATATCCTAAAGTAGTTTACCAGAGGTTCAAATCCTGGGCACAGACCTACACCACTCATCAGCCATGCTGTGGTGGCAACCCACATATAAAGTGGAGGATGACTGGCACAGATGTTAGCTCTGGGTTAATCTTTCTCAGCTAAAAAACACAAAACGTATGCTTCATACTAATACACACCACAAATTCCTAGAAACAAAGATACCAATGGAAAAACTGTACAAGTTATACCTATCCATGAATTCAGTGAAAATAAATGTCTTCAATGTATTGGGTAGGAAAGAAGGGTTAGGAACTAATATCCCTTACAAATGCCTACAATATGCTAGGTTCATATAATTCTAATAACCATGGCATGAAAAGGTATCCTTATATAATAGCTAAGTAAGGGCTCAAAAAGATTAAGCGGCTTGACCAATGTCACCCAAAGAGGAACAAATCAAAAAAGGCTAAAATTTAAGATCTCTTCTTGAAAAATATAACTAAGCAACAGGAAGAAAAAGAAATGGAAACATAAATTCCATCCTTGATGTAACTAGGAGATATATATAGTAACTGAAACCTGAAATACAATGTATCAAGATAGAAAGCTCATGGTGGAACAGTAAATGACTTAGCATAAGAGAAGACAGTTAATCCAAGTCCCTACAGAAAGAGATAATGACAATCCTATTCACTCTGTAGTATCCCAGAAAGGCTTAGAAATTAGAGACACTGGAAGAGGCAAGAGGGCAGAACCAACCTCCTCCTCCCCACCCCACCCCCCACATTCCTAAGGGAATCAGAAGTATGGTCTCCATCCAAACTAAATCAGAGTGGCTCCAGGCTCAGGGGTGTCCCTCACAGAAAAAAGAAGTGAAATGCTGATACGAAAACAGGGAGAATAAGTGAAAATTTATAAACTGAATGGTGAGACTTGCAAGCTTTCTCTCCCCGCTCAGTACTAGAACCTTGCCATCTAAACTCACTACCTCTGCCAATCCCCTCCCCTTTCTCCATTATTCCACTGAGACAGACAGACAAATGAAGGACCTTTATCTGAAGAAGCTGAAAGTCTTCTTACCACGATCCAGAGAAAAGAAATAAAGATGAACATGTGAGAGTTCATGAGTCACTAAGCCATGCTCATGCACGCCCAGGGAGCTTTCAATCAGTTGTGGAATTTTCTCTTGAATATGAAGGAACTGCTAAGGATCACACAGATCTGAAGAAAGCCTCCAACGAAAAGAAAGAGACCAAAACAAACAGGAAAAAAGTTAGAGGAACCAAAACAGCGCAAGAAACAGAAGAACATGTCAAAGAAATTATAATTAATATCCTTGAAGAGATAACAGAAGATGCCGTACCCATGAAAAAGGAACAAGATGCTGTAATACAGGAACAAAGAACAGGAGCTCATAAAACATTTTTTCAGGGGATAGCTGAAATTTTAAAATTCAGTGAAAGGGTTGAAATCTCGCAGATAGTAGAACAAAAGACAACATTTGGAGGTCAAATTTTTCAACATCAACATTGGAAGGCAGGCAGCAAGGGAACACCTCCAAACTTTTGAGCGAAAATGAGTTCCAATATAGCGATCTCTCAACAGCTAGTCAAGTCTGAGGATAAAAATAAAATCCCCCAAAACTGATTTCCCATGCACTCTTTCAGAGTAATATTAGGGGAAATCAAAATGAAGGAATAAACCAAAAGGAAGGCATGGGATCCAGAAAAAGGAACTCAACAAAAGTGAAAGAAATTCCCAGAACAAGAGCTGAGGGCAGTCCCAAGATGACAGCTCTGCAACAGGCCTGGAGAGAGAACAATCCAGACAAAAGCAGGAAGGCTGGCAGCTACGGAAGGGACGACTGCAGGGGCCATGGACGCCTAAGTTTATCGGACAGACCTGACCACGCGGAAAACTGCACTGAGAAGCATTTTATGGAGCTGCTGGAGGGTATAAAAGACTTTGCCGGACAAAACTAAGCAAATGAAAAACGGAGGCACGAAAAACACAAGGTTACACAAGAAAATGAAATCACTATAAACGACAAGCTCAGTAGTGACAAATATTTGTTCATAATGGTAAAAATAATATCAATTTAACCTAAAGTTGTGGAATAATATTAGAAAGATGGGGGAAAGTCTAGTTTGAAAAATCTTCGAACATCTATCCCTTTAAAATCACTGACATCTACATACCTCAAATTATTCAGTTCTAAGAAAAGCCTCTATTTTCATTAGAGTTAAATTCTGTAACTAGACTTTCAAGGCAAAAATTCAGTGACATGCTCTGGCTTCATCTTGGGATACTTCACAGGGTCATTCTAAGGGAAAAACGTTGAATGCAGAGCAAAAACACTAACAAAAATCAGAAGATCTACACAATTTATTGGTTACTGGCATCAGTTAAGGCACTGTCATCTAATAATAACACGTCTGTTCTGCTGTTTACTATATAACCCTAATGCTGGACGCCTTCAGTACATGTCACCTTCACCTTCCACGTTTACTAACTCATCAATTTCTTCAGTCTTACAAGAAAATGGGCTGTGAACCCTTCAGTTGATTACATAAGCACCAAAACCTAGTTATTTTCTAGTTTTAAAAATCTAAAATGTTCTGCACTTTTTCTTTTTCTAAGAAATAAATGTAACTTTTATTTGATGACTCAGGCTATAATGGAAGTCAGCCACAGCACTCTGCCCAGACGGCCCCAGAGTTTTCAGTGTGTAAGACATCAGCCCCTGTGTTAAACCAGCCTAGACTGGTACGCTTCTATAATTCTCCTGTTCATCACTTTTAACTTTCCAATCTACTGTCAATGATCTTCCCTCTATCTGGACTGACCCACCCTTGGGTTGACACTGAAAAGCAACCCTTCTCTTTGATTTTTCGTTTTCCTTCAATAAAATATCAGCATTTCCATCAGAAAAATGTCAATTTTACAATAGTCTTAATACGGAGTCACTACTCAAAGAAACCTACATAGGTCACGGAAAAACACCTTTCTCGAATCTTAATGTAAAAGCTATCACTGCTTATATTCAGTCTTAATAATAAGCTGTAGTCTTCAAAAAGAGGATTCTAAATGTAACCGAAAAGACTAGAAAAATCTCTCTTTAACAGCCAACTCATTTTAGGGGCTATGTATGTGCTCCATATTTTATGTTACAATTGTTAAAGAAAGCTTACTTATCTTCGGCCATTCCAACACACCGACAATGTGAGACCCATATTCACTGACGCGCTCAAAGAACTTAGAAGAGCGAATACACTGTTTACACATCACAAAGAAAGCTGATACCGAGCTACAAATGCACAGACGCTCGGGCATTTACAACTTTTAAATGTAACCATTAAAACTAAACAGCTTTAAAATACTGACCACCTAGAATTCCAAGCGAAAAGTCACACAAATTCCATCCTCAACACCCCTTTCCTAGAAGCCACGGCCTCCCGAGCTGAGGTCTCCACCTCGTGCAGCAGTCCCTGACGGCCACGCTTCGATGTCAAGCTGTGCTGCAGGCAAACATCCGGGAACAGGTAACACTGTTGCCACAGACTCTTGCGCAGCGTTTGCAAAAACTGTGAACACAGCCACTCTGATTCCGACAGACAGGAATGTTTCACGATTTTATCTACCATTCGATTAGCAAGGCTAAACCTGCTTGACATCTCATTTTTCCTAAAAAGCAGAAAAAATACTTTGTACTGTGGGTCAGTGTACATTTATGATCAAGATCATCGGGGGCTTTAAGCTTTGGATCAGAGATCGAGTTTGCAGCCGGTCTCTATGCTGAACCACTGTCAGATCACTGTGTACCAGTTCTTAAATAGGCAGGACCATCTACTGCAAACAAACACTTGCAGACAATCAACACGACCAGCCTACGTTTTCAAAGAACACTGTCTGGCCGCGTCTGAAAAGGACGTTTAAGGCTTTGCCTTCTCGTGATGCTAAAACACCTCGCAGCCACTAGACCTGGCCCCAAACACGTCAACGCTCCTGCCTCCATCATTTGCTGCAGGAAAAAAAAAAGAATATGGCTGAAAACCGCTTCCGAAGAGCGGCGTCTCGCCCGGGACCACTGCGAACACACGGACGCGGGGCGGTCCCGCACAGCCCGCGTTCCCTAATAGGGACGGGAAGCCGCGTCCCCGGCAGCTCCGGGGCTCTCCACACCCCTTTTCGGACAGCGTCTCCCAGCGCGGGAGCCGGGGGCACGGGAGCGCATTCGCGATCGCACCTCCGCGGTCCACCGCTCCCCTGAGCATCGCCCGCCGCCAGGCCGGACCCTCCCACGCCCCGGGCCCGGCCCCGCAGGGCGCGCGCGCGAGCAGGAACCGCGCGCAAAGCAAGAGGCGCGGCCATGGCCCCCGCGGCGACCGCGACGACAAGCTCCATTTCCTGTCCCCACGGGGGCACCCCGGAGCCGCCGAGCCCCGCCCCCCGCGCCCCCTCCCCGCGGCGCCCGACCCACCTCGCGGCGGCGGCGGCCCCTCGCCGTTCTCCTCGCGGGCGGCGCCGCGCTCGCCCGGGCCGTGCCGCCGGCGCTCGCGCCGCGCCGCTCCTTGGGTCTGCGCGGCCTGGCGCGCGCGGCGGCGGCGGCGGCGGCGGCGGCCGGCAGCAGCAGGCGGGGCGGCGGCGCGGGCGGCAGCGCGGGGGCCCCGGCGGCTTGCGCGGCGGCGGCGCCGAGGCCGCAGAGGCCGCGCCAGCGGGGAAGGCGCAGCCGCTCCGCGCGGGGGCCGGGGCCGAGGCGGCCGGCAGCGCGGCGAGGCTCCAGGGCGCCGGGCCGCCGCAGCCCTGAGGCGAGGGCGCCGCGGGCGGCTGCCGGCCGTGCCCGCCGCTGCCGCCCTCGCCGTTCAGCCTGCGCGGCGCCTTCTTCTCCTCAGCGCGGCCCTTCTTGGCGGACACAGGGCCCGGCGCGTCCCGGGAGGCGGGCTGCAGCTTGCCGCACGGCTCCCTCTCCGCGGCCGCGGCGGCGGCGCCGTGCGCGGGGCCCGGCGGCTCCGCCATCTTGCGCTCCCGTTGTATTTACTCGCTCGGCTCCGGGCGCGGGCCGGGGCGGGGCGCGGTGGGGCGGGGCGGGGCGTCGTCCGGCCTCCGCGGGCCGCCGCGCTGAGGGACCCTTCCAGCAGCCAATCGGAGCGCGCGTCTCAAGCCCAGGGGGCGGGGCTGCCCGGCGCCCCCGCGCTGGAGGTCACGGCGCGGCGGGGCGCGGCCATGGCCCGGCGCGCCGCGGGGGAGGGTCTCCGCGTGTCGCCCGAGAGGCTCGGGAAGATCTCCCCCGACGCCCCGCGGCCGGCCCCAGAGGCGGCCCCGGCCCGGGAGGCGCTCATCTCCGCCTGGACCGCTTCGTCCTGCATCCCTTTCTCTTCCTGTCTCCCTGGGGTCCCCTGGGTCCCTGCCTGCCTCTTCGCGCTCCGAAAAGCCGAGTTTCGCAGATACTCAGCTCGGAGGAGGACGTTTTGCCGGGAAGTAGGTGCTTTCTTGTTAAGCGGCGGTCGATCGATGGGAGGGGCCAGAAGTCGCTAGGTGTCCGGACAAGATTGTCACTGTCGCTGAGATCGTCAGCTCTAGTGCTTGGAGGCGGGTGACCTCCTGCAAGCCTAGAACTTTGGGATTACTTCCGAGCTTGAAGGTAAGCCTCTCCCTGGAGAATTCTTAACTTTGGGGATTGGACCCTTAAAGGTTTTCATTTTGTTATAATTATAACTCAGACTCGCCGAGAAAAATCCATCAGCGATATTTCTAGATGTTTGAAAAGCAGGGATTTTATTTTTTTAAGTGTCAGTATTGTAGCACCCTGGAAATGTGCGCTTTGATTTGTGGCTGAGAAGGTAAGGAATTTGGGGAGATGGGTCACGGTAATACGGTTGCAACCAAAGTAAGGAGCTCGGTTTTAATTTAGCTCTGAGGTCCTCCCGTGAGACCGAAAAAGTCAAATGAGTAGATGTAAAAATTACAGTAGTCAAATCAGGAGAGGACTAGTCGGAGCATATTTTGAGTCCTAAAAGGAGCCCTAAATTGTCCGTCACTTTCTGGAAAACAGTTAAAAGTAACTTTCCAGGATTACCAATTCTTGTAACCTCGTGAAGTTGGATTTCTTTATTTCGTTCCCTCCCCATTCTTTTGGTTTTTTTTTTTTTTTAAGAATATTTTGGAGTCAAAATTTAACATTGGTTTTATAAACTTGTTTTTTTTTTAATACCTCAAATTTGTAAAGTAATCAAAGTATTTACATTCTATTAATACATGACAGTGAACGCTTTGTGGTTGGAATTGACTGGCAGCAGATATCTTCATGAAAGGTGGCACTGGGGGAAGAGTGGACAGAGAGGAAGGGACTGAAAATCATCTGCTACTGACTGGCTCTGACCTCGTCAGCGTGCTCCATCTGTCAGAACGCTGTGTTATTTGAGTACATTTGATTACATGATCACTAAGCTCCCTTCCCAGCTCTGATTTCTACCGGATTCAGGAAGCTTTTTAAAATCACAGTGAAACCGTTGCAATTGAAATAGCTTCTTAATTGTTGGCCCTGCAGATATAGGAAAGTGTCTCTTGTATACATTACTGTAGTGCCTGGAAACTTGCAGCACTTATTCCCTCATCTCCCACACACAAGTCTGGAAAATCTGACTTTGTAAGGGCCCCACGGAAGTGTGCCCTCACTTGGGTTAATTGGTCACTCCTTGCACTATACTCTTTTGTACTGTTATTTGCAGAGCCTGGGCAAGAGTTGGGCTATGGAGGCTCACATACCATGCATCTAAGTATTTAAGTTATAAATCAAGATAGCAAACTATCATAAAAAAATGTATTCTTCTCTACTACCTTGACAAATTTACTTACATAATGATCTGGAAGGCCAGGTTTAAACTTAGAATTCTCAGACTTCTGGAGTCCTCAGCATGACCCCGTTCTCTTCCCATTCCCAGCTTCCTCAGCCGTGACACCGAAAGGGACCATGCATTTGTGCACCCAACGTGTCCAAGCTTATGTCCACATCTCTCACCCCTGCAAATCGTGATGTGTAGTCAGCAGTTCTGTCTGCCCTCAGATCTAGCCATTGTAAACGAGGAGGACAGGCTCTGGGCAGGCACGGCCCCTTCACCTCATGGCCTCCTTGCAGCAGGAGGAGGGTCCTTAGCCAGGTCTAAGGGCAGTACTGTTATCAAAAATGCTCAATTATCTGTTTTCTCTCCCGTGAAATCAGCCATTCCCTTTCAGCTAGATCCTTCCTAACCACACTGAACTAGGAGAGAATTCCCGCCACTGTCACCAGTTCCTATCTGATCGTGTCACTGTCCTTGCTTCAGAACTGTCAGTGGCTTCCATTGCTCTTAGGATAAAGAACAGAATCTTTAATCTGGCCTACAAGACCGTGATGCTCTAGCCCCTTCCTCTTCTGTAGCAAGGTAAAAGGTCTTTAATACCCAGAATGCACCATGCTGTCTTTCAACATGGGATTGTTACATAGGTTGTCCCCCTTGCCTGGATGCTTTCTGCCTGATGCTTAGGTGATAGTTTGGATAATGGGCATAACGGAGGCAGGTGTCACGAATGCCTCCTATGTTTCTAACCTGCATGACTTGATGGGCAGTGGTACCATCACTGAGTTAGGAAACACTGAAGAGTGACAAGTTTGGGATGCTCTTTGACCTTAGACCTGGTGAACATGAGGTGCCTGTGAGACATCGAACCCTTTGGATCTCAGCTCAAGCCAAGCCTCACTTCCCTGGAGAGCCTGCCTTCTCTGCCCTGTCAAGATGAGATTCTTTCCTTGTTTGTTGGTTTTCTTCTCATCTCCATTTCTTTTTGCTTTTGTTGTTGTTGTTGCTGACTCACTGATAATGTCTCCCACCCGCTTCCATTCCCTCCTCTGTAACGGCAGCTCTGTTGAAAACGTACTGCCCTCTACCCTGCTTCTCCACCTTCTCGTCTGAAACCTGGCTGCCCTCTGAGGACGCAGTCTGTACTTTTGAAAGTTGCACATTCTCTCTGAGCTGGGGATCACCTCCCCAGTTCTGTATCACACAGTTTCAGGTTATTATTACTCTTTCCATGTCATGCAAAAAGTCCTTCCTCCCATGGGATTTTGTGGCATGGCTATACCATCCTTCACTGACTTCCCGGTCATCTTACCACAGTTACTGAAGACTTTGATCCTTGCTCATGTTCATCCCTTCTACCTTCCAGCCATCATTTTAACTGACCCCAGTGTCCGTGCTAATGACCTCTCTAGGATTCTTGCCTCAGTATTTCTTCATGGTCCCCAATTTTCATTCTGTTTCAGCCACAAACTCCAGTGGGCCCCTCCTTAATCCTTTTCGTCCCCCTTCCGTCTCTGAAATCTTCAGCTATGGCTTTCTCACTCCTCTACACTAGGCCCCTGCCATTTGACCTCAGGAGAACTCCCAGACTCTAGATCTTCCTTTTTCACATGATTAAGATTCCCAGTGGATCTGGCAACCCTGCACTGATCCATCCTTTCTATACGTTCTTCCCCGTCCAACCCAGAGCCTGTGGTGTATAGTCTGTCCCTAACACTTGCCAGCACCTCAGTTCCTTGCACCCTTAGTCTCTCCTCTCTTCTGCTGACTCCCAGCCTCAGGTCGTCACCTCCACCGCTCTTCTGCGTCCAGGCTGCTGAGCATTCCGCCCTCTCCCGTTGGCGTGTTGGGGATTCTTGGGCATATGTCGTCAGTCTCTGTCTCACGCTGCACACTTCTATGTGATATTATACCTCACGCCGTCTCCTGATGGATCATAAATGCTGACAGTTCCCAAGTCTTCCTCTCCTGCCTCGACCTTCCATCTGATTCCTGATTCTGTCCAGATGCCAAGTGGATGTCTCCACCTGTGTAGCCACAGACGCCTCAGACTTCATACCGCCCTTACCCATCCCATGGCTCATTCTCCTGCATTCCTTATCCACCTGTCATTCAGGCTACAAACCTGGAGTCTTCTTTGACTTCTTTTGTTCCCTCACCCTCCACGTTCAGTCAGTCACTATCTCTAGTCAGTTTCTCTTGTCTGTTCCCACTGATGCTCCTTGCCTTCGGGCCTCGAGTCGGCTTGGACTTTGTCAATGAGTTCCACCCTAACTGGGCTCTCAGCCTCCAGTCTCCCATCTTCTAAACTATCCATGCTGCTATCAAAATTACATTTCTGCAATTCAAACCTGATTATGCTTCAGCCCCTCCAGTAATTCCCTTTTGTATGTGGAGTAAAAGTCACACTTTTTCATGTAGATAGAAGCCATTCTTTTTGTGTGTGTGAGGAAGATTTGTCCTGAGCTCACAGTCCTGTGCCAGTCGTCCCCCATCTTCTATGTGGGACACCACCACAGCGTGGCCTGATGAGCGATGTGCAGGTCTGTGCCTGGGATCCAAACCTCCACTTCCCAGGCCACTGAAGCAGAGTCCACCGAGCTGGCTCGAGCCATTCTTTTTTTTTTTTTTTTTTTTTTGAGGAAGATTAGCCCTGAGCTAACATCTGCCGCCAATCCTCCTCTTTTTTGCTGAGGAATACTGGCCCTGAGCTAACATTCGTGCCCGTGTTCCTCTAATTTATATGTGAGACGCCTGCCATGGCATGGCTTGCCAAGCAGTGCCGTGTCCGCACCCGGGATCCAAACCTACGAACCCCAGCCCGCCAAAGCAGAATGTGCGAGCTTAACTGCTGTGCCACTAGGCCAGCCCCCCAAGCCATTCTTGTTATAACCCCAGCACTCCTCTCTTGGCCTCCTGTAGCTTCCCTCTACTTCATCTATTTGGCACCATGTGTAATTGTCAAAAGAGTTGCACTCCCTGCCCTCTGTGCATTCTGTTTCCTCTGCCCGTAATACCCTAGCAGAGCTCTCCTTATCCTTCAAAGTTTGGTTCAGGCATCTCCCTAGTACCGTGCTTCCTGACCTGCCAGATCAGTTGATTGTTCCTTTGCGCCATCATTCCTTCTACTTGGGGCCATTGAACCCATAGGTCTCTGCTTCTGGCCTGTGAACTCCCCAAAGACGTTGTTTACATTCGTATTTACACGAGTTATTTACATTTGTATGCGTGGTGTCTGGGACATGGTCAGTGCTCAATAAACATAGAGGAAAAGAAGTAAATAAAATGCAGGTTTGTGATCTTTATGGTAAGATGAGGACCTGGGGTTGCAAACTTAAATGCCAAATGGTCTTGGTAGGTTGAGAAATCATAAGGCAGGTTGAATGTAATGTAACAGGAAGTGGTGAGGACTGTGCCTTATCTACGAGATACTTTGTTTCTTGGCTCTAACTGGTTGTTCCCATATCGAAATGAAGTGGGCCTACTTGCTGAATATCTGGATTTTTTAATGTGAAGGTTCCTGAGAAACTGTGCAAGCCGAACAAAACATATCTGTGGGTCAAATAACCCAGTCTGAGTTCTGATCTAGAGAAGAGTGGCTTTGTTTGGTTAAGGTAGCTGTTATTTTTGATGAGGAAGATTGGCCCTGAGCTAACATCTGTACCAGTCTTCCTCTGTTTTTTGTATGCCGAATGCTGCCACAGTGTGACTTGATGAACAACGTGTCGGTCTGCACCCAGGATCCAAACCTGCAAACCCTGGGCCACCGAAGCAGAGTGCACAAACTTAACCACTATGCCACTGG